CCCGGGTATGTGTTTCGCTCTTAGCTAAGTCGTTCATGTTTGTGTGTTCTTGTGCTCATTGTTTACGTATTGTTTTTTTCTCTCTCTTTTTTTTTGTAGTTCTTAGCGGCCGCTCTTCCTGGCCTCAAGGCTGGTACTCGACCCCCCACCTCCTCCACTAAGGCCCTCGAGGACCAATGCGAGGCGCATCTTAGAGAGATTGCCCAGTTAAAGAAAGAGCTGGAGGGGTCTAAAGCCTTGGTCGACAAGTTGAAGGCCGACATAGCCGTGGCCCTGCACGACAACGAGAAGCTCCAGGCCGACCTTGAGAAGGCTCAGGAGGCGAACATGTATGAGGTGGACGTTGGTGTTGTTCAGGGCCGAAAGTCGTTCTTAAGGACTGGCATAGGCGCTGCCTTTGTCAACGCCTACCGTAAGAAAGTCGTCAAGGCTTTTTGCAATTCTCATAAGTTCCTCGACAAGCTCTGCCCTGCCACCGTTCAATATTTCGATCATGCCTTTGACGCATGGGAAGCTGTGGTGGCGGGATCTGAGTTTTCTGGGAAACTCAATCGGGAGGCAATGAAGTGTGCGCTTCCCGACCCTGATGGTTATGAAGGTGATCCATCCCTTCCGGATGACTACCCCTGGTGGATTGGTCTCGAGGCGAAGATATCCGAGATGCCAGGCTCACTTATCAGCTGGATGCTCCCCTGACTTCTCCCATCCAACCCGACGGGCCCAGTCATGAAGATCGAGTCGTGACCATCCTTGAGGGGAGCGACGAAGATGTTGTATCTTAGTTGTTCGTTGGAGGCTTATTGCCTTTTTCTTGTCGTTTATTCTTATTGTCTGTTCTGGTCTCAATCTGACTTTCCAAATTGTAAAGGTTGAGACGACTCTTGTAATGAATCTATTTTAAATGTTATTCTTCATTTTATCTTTGCCTAAGTCGTCACGTTCCCGCAACGCTGTGTTCATGCATTCCTCGAGATTTTACTTATAACTACGTGGTTGTAGATTTATCGACATTTCATTTGCTTGCACATTTTGTAATTAGTGATTTTGTAGCCGTAGGCATTACAACCTTGACGGGTTATGTTTGAGTCAACTTTGTGGTTGTTTGGGTCGACTTTTGTAGTCGTGGGCTTTATAGCCTTGCCGAGATTTCGCTCGGGGCTTATAACTTTTTAGTTGTTTGAGTCGACTTTTATAGTCGTGGGCTTTATAGCCTTGCCGAGATTTCGCTCGAGGCATACAACCTTTTAGTTGTTTGAGTCGACTTTTATAGTCGTGAGTTTTATAGCCTGGCCGAGATTTCGCTCGAGGCATACAACCTTTTAGTTGTTTGAGTCGGCTTTTATAGTCGTGGGCTTTATAGCCTTGCCGAGATTTCGCTCGAGGCATACAACTTTTTAGTTGTTTGAGTCAACTTTTATAGTCGTGGGCTTTATAGCCTTGCCGAGATTTCGCTCGAGGCATACAACCTTTTAGTTGCTTGAGTCGACTTTTATAGTCGTGGGCTTTATAGCCTTGTCGAGATTTCGCTCGAGGCATACAACCTTTTAGTTGTTTGAGTCGACTTTTATAGTCGTGGGCTTTATAGCCTTGCCGAGATTTCGTTCGAGGCATACAACCTTTTAGTTGTTTGAGTCGACTTTTATAGTCGTGGGCTTTATAGCCTTGCCGAGATTTCGCTCGAGGCATACAACTTTTTAGTTGTCTGTTTATTTTTGTTTGATTATTGATCGTGAAAAAGTCGTTACGTAAATATAAAGACATATCGTAAACAAAACCTATTTATTACTGGATATAATTTGATCGTTGCCCAGTACAAAAGGAAAACTTGAAACATTGTTCTTTTAAGCATAAAAACGTTTGAGATGGATAACGTGCCAAGATCGCGGTAGTTGTCGACCTTCTGCATCCTCGAGTTCGTACGCACCTCTTTCAAGCACTTTGGTGATGGTGTAAGGTCCTTCCCAATTAGCTTCAAGCTTCCCGACATGTTTAAGAGCATCTACTCGCTTGAGGACGAGGTCTCCTACTTGAAATCGTCTGGTGCGGACTTTCCTGTCAAAGGCTGCCCGCATCTTTTGCTTATACTCTACGGATCGCAGCCAGGCTTCCTCTCGCACTTCTTCTATCATGTCGAGGGCCTCTTTTGCTAACTCTTCATTGGTCCTTTCCTTATAGAATGTCGACCTGTGAGATTCCACTCCGACCTCAATGGGCAATAGGGTGTCCATTCCGTAAACCATGTGGAATGGTGATTGCCCTGTTGAACTTCTCGGGGTCGTCCTATAGGCCCATAGGACCGTTGTCAGCTCGTCGACCCAGGCACCAGATGCTTTTTCCAGTCTTTTCTTTAGCCCTTGCAAGATGGTTCTGTTTGTCACTTCGACTTGGCCGTTCGCCTGAGGGTGCGCAACTGAGGCGAATTGCTTCTTGATCCCCATGTCGACACACCACGCCTGGATCTGCTTTCCTTGAAATTGTTTCCCATTATCTGAAATCAAGATATTTGGGATCCCAAATCGACAGCAGATATTATTGAACAAGAAATGTATCATTTTGTCTTCAGTGATTTTTGCCAGAGGTTCTGCTTCTACCCATTTGCTAAAGTAGTCGATGGCAACCACCATAAATTTCCGTTTCCCTGTTCCCATTGGCAACAGGCCTACCAAATCGATTCCCCATTGAGCAAAAAGGATCGGGCAGCTGATTGTCGTCATTGCTTCGGCTGGAACGTGGGGGATTTGTCCATGGCGCTGGCATCTATCGCATCCTTGTACTAATCGTTCGGCTGCCTTTCGGATCTTGGGCCAATAATAGCCTGCTCGAAGGGCTTTGCCAGTTAGGGCTCGTGATCCTATATGTGCTCCGCAACAGCCTTCATGGATTTCCTTCAAGACATGGTCCCCTTCTTTTTAGGAAACGCATCGCAGGTGGGGTCCAACCATTGACTTCTTATACAAACTCCCTCGATCTCAAAATACTTACTCAAATATCGGGCTGCTTTTTCAGCCTCCTGCTTATCTCCTTCTGGCACTCGACTTTGTAATAGCTCACGGATTGCTCTTCGCCAATCTTGGTTTTCGTCGACCTCCATTGTCTCGCTTAGGACACTTCCCTCCAAGTGTAGTGTGGTAACATGGTTCCCCATTTTTCCTTCATTCGATCTTGCAATTCTTGCGAGCCAGTCGGCTCACTTGTTCTCTTCTCGAGGTACTTGCGTTAGCTCAAAACTTTCCAAGCCTTGCACTAGGCTTTGAATTTCTTCGACATATTTTATCATCCGATCCTCTTTGATTTTGCAGTTTCCCAATACTTGTCCCACAACCAGTTGTGAGTCAGAATGTGCCATGATTTCCGCCGCTCCACCCCCGATTGCCAGTTGGATCCCCTTAATTAGAGCCTCATACTCTGCCTCGTTGTTCGAGGCCTTAAATCCCATTCTGATGGCAAAGTCGAGTTGTTCGCCTTCGGGGGATACTAAGGCCACTCCCAGACCAGACCCTTTGGCTGACGAGGATCCGTCATGGTGCCTAAGCCGTTTGTCTTTCAGCAACTTATCCACCTCGACTTCTATGGCTTTGTCGATCTCTGCGCCATGGTGCCTAAGTCGTTGTTTCACGGGCTTTTTCAGGGGGTCGACATTAAGCTTGTGCTCCATGACATCGGGATCGATTCCTGTTAGCTCTTCGGGGGAAAAAGCGAATATGTCCCTGAATTCTTTCAGCAGTCCTACCAACTGTAGACGCAACTCATCTTCCAATTCTCGCCCTATTTTAGTGGTTTGTTCCTCTTTTTCCCCAATTTGAATTTCCATTAATTCTCTATGTGGCTCGAGGTCACTCTCCCTTTGTCTTTTTTCGCTTGACATCGGCTTTTTCCCTTCTTTTACCTCCGTCTGTTGGTTTGTTCTTACTGCAATCTGATAACAGATTCTTGACAGCCTCTGGTCCCCTCTAGCCTCCCCGACTTTATCTCCCACGGGGAATTTTAGCTTCATATTGTAGGTTGACACTACCTCTTGGAATGTGTTGAGTGTTGGCCTTCCCAGAATCACATTATAGGCTGACTCGATGTCGACTACGACAAATCGTACCATTTTCACTTTCCTTAGGTCGCCTTCCCCTAGGACGACAACGAGCGTGGTCTCTCCTAGGGGTGCGACTTCCAAGCCATTGAATCCAAAAAGTGAGGTGTGTAGGGGTGAGAGCTCGATGTCGAGTTCCATCCGCTTAAGACAATTGTAAAAAATCACGTTCACCGAGCTTCCCGTGTCGACAAAGATTCTTTGTACTTCATAGCCCGATATCTGAGCTGTGATCATTAGGGCATCGTTGTGAGGTCTCTCGACTTCTCCCATGTCTGCTGGTCCAAAATTCATCACCGGACCGTTTTCCTCGACTTGTTGCACTTCAATTTTTCCGTGGTGGCCTCGAGCATATGCCTTTCTGGCCCGATTTGAATCTCCATCAGTCGGCCCTCCGAATATCATGTGAATTACTCCTCTTTTCTGAGGGAGCTCCTCCTTGTCGGGTGTCCTCGCTCTCTTGTGAGGGCTTTTACTTCTCTCCCTACGTCGACTGGTTCGCTCTCGATCCTTTTAAATGAATTCCTTCAGATGGCCTGCTTTAATTAGTCTCTCAATCTCATTTTTTAGGTGTCGACATTCATCGGTATTATGGCTGTAGTCTTTGTGAAATCGACAATACAGATCGCTTTTAGGTTTTGTCGGCCCATCCTTTCTCATCTATGGCCACCTGATAACATTGTCACGGATTTCTTTCTCCATAACCTCCAGTATCCGTGCATTCGAAGCTAACAGGGGAGTATATTGGGCTGTCCTCCATCCCCTCGATCTTCCTTCTCTTTCAGACCTCGGGGATCCCTTCCTTTCAGTCGGCGCGACAGGCTTTTTATCCTTCTTCTCGTCCCGAGGCTCAGTTTTTGCCTTAGCTGCTTGCAGAAAGTCAGCTTCAGCTTCTTCAACATTCATGTATTTGGCGCACCTTCCTAACACCTCATCGAACGTCCTTCCGGGTTGCTTTTCTAGGGAGTTTCTGCATAGCCCTGGGAGCAGTCCTCGAGTGAGCCCTCCTGACTTGATTTCCTTGGTGGCCGAGGGGACGTCGACGCATGCCCGTGTGTACCTTGCCACATAATCCCTCAACGATTCCCCTTCTTTCTGTTGCATGCCTATCAGAGTAAGGTAAGACTTTTCTTGGGCTTTTACACTTGCGAACTGGTTTAGAAAGCTTGAGCTAAATCCGTCAAAGTCCCTGACGGCTCCTGGGGGAAATTGATGAAACCAATCCTGCGCTGGTCCTCGCAGGGTCGTCAGGAACGCTCGACACTGAACAGGGTTTTTATAACGGTGCAGTACTGCCATGTTTTCGGAACTCCTTAGATGTCGAGAGGGATCAGTCGACCCGTCATACCAGATGTTGAGCTCCCAGAACCACTGAGGCAAGTCGGCGTCTAGAATATGTTGTGAAAAAGAATGTCCCCTCGAGCTTTCCGTTTTTCTTCCTTCCACTCGAGCCTGCAAGTCTCGGACCTGCTCTAACAGCTGCTCTAGGGTGTCGTTTCTGGCTTGTGGATTAACAGTTCTGACAGAGGACTCCTCTTTATCAACCCTCCTGTTCTGCCTCTCATGTGATTGCGCCTATTGTTCGCGTTCAAGGGGTTGATGCTCATTTTGAGGTTGTCCGACCCTAGCTTGCTCGATTCGGGGTTGTTCGACTCTGGGTTGCTCGACTGGCGTTTGTTTGATTTGGGCAGCTACAGCTTCGGCTATCATCCTCTGCATCTCGCTCTGTGTTATGGTTAACATTTGCTCCTCAATTTGGGGCAGCGGTCTCTTTCCTGACTCGAGCGGTCCAGGCTGCTTTCTTAGATTTAGGAACGTCTCGGTTGACTCACGACCATTGACTTCTCCGCTCGTGTTCCTCACGTGACTGGCCTCCCCTTGAGTGAGCACTGGGATCTTGACTCCTGGTGGGGTGATAGGCGTTTCCTCCCCCATACGCCCTCCTGACGGCGCGTGTGCCCCAAACAGTGGGAAACCGAACACTTGGAGCGGCGGCTTGGGGTTGGGAATCGGCGAAGGTCGCTTGTCAGTCCATGTTGCCCTGAAATCTTCATTAAAGTTTTTCTGCACTCCTTCCTTCTCAGCCATCGGGAACAGATCAAAGCTAGGTGTAAAGCTCTTAATTCCTTCAAGAACTTCCCACAGACGGCGCCAAAATGATGGGTCTCCTCTCAGATTTGGAGTGAACCGGTGGAAAATCGCCCAGATCTGGAATGAATCGTTGGTAATGAGCTCAAATATGACTCGATAGCTTCCGAACCGTTGCAGAACCGCGAGAACACCTGCAAGAACTCAACGCCGGAGGGGTTTCCGGCGTAGAGCCTCCGACGCTCAAGTCAGTATTTGAAAAAGATGAAGAGAGCTGCTCTGAGAGAGCAACAACAGTAATGGGGAAGAATGTAGAATGAATGAGAGTTAGGGTTTTGGAGTTACCTCAGCTCCTTTATATAGAAGTAGAACATTTACCTGAAGTCCCCGAAATGCCCCGACCGACTTACTGGAAATGTCCAAATTACCCTGGTCGGTTCGCATTCTGCCCATTTCCTAGTCAGCTTCTGGATCCTTCCTTAGCTTCCTCCTTATCCTTAACTCTTCCTCGATACGCTGAAGTGTATCAGGACTGTCGAGATCTATAAACTGCGAGACCTCTTCAGTAGACTTGATCCAGTAGACTCAAGTCGACTTGGTCATATTCAACCGCTAGTGGATCCTGATATGCATTTGACCGTCGCCTTGGAGGAAATCGACTTATACTAGTCGACATGCATAAGTCGACCGGGGTATCTGGACCCCTAATTGGAGATAGTATTGGGAATATGGTGAGAGAGTCGACTTTTGCTAAGTCGACTCGGTAATTTCGGAATCCTTGACAGTGTAAACCGTTATATGATAATATGGCTACATCAGCCACTTATTAAAAAAATATAATAATATTCAAGCTCAATCTTAGATAAAATGTTCGAAAGTGAGTTAAGTTAAGGTATATAGATAAATATGGTTTATTGNNCTTGCTTTTTCGACTTATAAGGCAGCATTTATCTAATTAATATTTCGGATCGGTTGGATAGGTCTAAATCTTTTCAAATTTCAAAATTCAAAAGATAAGACATTCTCTTTCCACCGCTTCGTATTCTGTGCCCCATGTCAGCCGTTGAATACGACTTTAATCTGACGGTTAGGGTTTCTCTGCTTTCCCTATAAGTATCTCTTCCCTTTCCTCATCTTCACTTTTCGTACTCAAGATTCTTCAAACTCTCTGCTTCTCCGGCAAACGCATCATCTCAAGCTTTCCGGCACTTCGTTCATTTTCCGACGCTTTCTTCGGGTTTTTAAGGACTTCTCCGCCGACTACCATGAGTATGAGTAAGTTTTCTTTGCTTTCTGATTTATTGATGTGTTCAATATGAAAACTTTTTTGTTTTTCTGGGTAATATGCTTGGGGCTTGCATGTTCATCGGATTTTTTGGGCATTTTTCATGAATTTCCTGGCGATTTTCTTGTTAGATCTTTAATCGTAGGCTTTCCCTTCCTTCAAATGTTTTCATCTATTAGTCGTCTTGTTATGAGGGATTTCTTTCCATGACTCGACCTTCGCTCGTCAAATCGATTCGAGACGAGGAGTTTTTTTCTTGTTTCTTCTCTCCTTCCTGTTGCTGAATCGTCCTTTTGGTCCTTTTGTCGACCCTTACCTTTTAGAGTCGAATCTCGGTCGCGTCTTCCTATACCTACTGATTCTCTTCTCATTTTTTTTTAGATCCCGACCTCGACCCCATTTTTGATCCTGTCTCGGGTTCTCTGGCCCGTAAAATCGATGGCTACTCGGGTTCGGACTCCGTCCACTTAGTCGATGCTGGTTTGTGTTATCAGAACACTGAACCAGAGGATTCTGTCAACTCCAATACCTCATCCTTCGGTATCGATTGGAACGTATACAATCAGGCACTGCTTTCGGGCACACTTTGTGAGGATCCTGACGTTCTCCAAGTTCTTGAATCTTCTTACCCCGACTTGGTTCCTCGAGGTATTTCCGCTAGGTTCTTCTAGACATCCTCATATGCGGCCAACCTTGTTCCTTTACTGATAATGACTCCTTTAATTGAGTCTATAACTGCAGCGTGCTCTGTGACAAAGTTCTTAATATCATTTTCTTATGCTCCTGCAGCCGAAATCGATGGCTTCAGAGAGTACAGTGGCCTTCCCTCTGATTGGGCTTTGGTCGCCCCCAAACCTGAAGACGACTTCCGTCACCCCCCTAAGGGCTGTTTTACTTTTTTCGTGGATCAAATAATGTCGGGCTTGCGTTTCCCGATCCAACCCGAGTTACTGTCAATAAGTAATCTTTTCGATGTACCCATAAATCAATTCACCCTCAATTCCATTCGAATAATGGTAGCTTTCATAGTTGTTACCCGCGTAGTTTTAGGTGATTTTCTACCCGAGTTTTTTCTTTACTGCTACGGGTATAGGTTTAGCAAAGACGCCCATTGTCTGGGTCGTCGAGTAGGCGTTACCTTCCTTGACGACCTTTCTTCCAACATTACCGAATGGAAGAAGAAGTATTTCTTTATTCGACCTGCCCCTGGCCAATATCCTTTCTCGAATGAGTGGATTACCAGCAAGCCAAAGCAACCTAAACGCCCCGACTCCTCCCTGTTCGCGGATATGTTAGAAGAATTAAATAAATATGTGTGGAGCGCTCGTCAGTTGACTAAAGATAGTTCTTTACTTAATCATGTTGGTATTTGTGTCGACAAGAGTGTTCCTCGGCTTGACGACCCTTGTAAGCTTCTTTGTTTGTCGTTTTTTTTTCGATTTGCTTACTGATTGTTTGGCCTGGTGCTTTTATGCTATTGTCTTGGCCTTCATGTATGGCTCGTGTGCTCGTTTGTATTGATCATGTTCTTTTTTCCAGTAAGAGCTCTGGCTCGTTTCGAGAAGAAAAAGGTGAGTCGTCCAGCAAACCAGCCACCCGCCTTATCCCTCAAGGGTCTGAGGGAGGTTCTAATTCTGCCACTCCTACTACGGCAGTCGAGACGACTGCCGCTAAAAAGTCTAAAGTGGTGCTCCCTTCGGCTTCCAAGCCAAGTCAAGCGACGGGCTCTCATTCTCATAAAAGACCCCGGAATCGAGAGGACACAACTTTGGTGTCCGACACCTCGAAGCGTTTGAAAGGGAAGGAGCCGGTGGTCGAGAAAGACGCGGGGCAGCCCTCCCCTGTTAGGGTGCAGCCTGTCACCCTACAACAGCCTTCGCGACTTTACGACAACCCCGACTCCCTTCAAATTCTCAACTACCTCCACTCGACCATTCCTGAAGATGATCAGGTTCGGACCGACAGCGACCCCTATCTTCGGGCCCGCTATGCAGCTCGGCTTATTCCTCGAGTAAGTTCAACTTCTCTTTCTTTTTTTTTTTAGTGTTATGTCGGCTTCTCATCATTTTTTTTATTCGTTCTTTTCAGCTTCTCGCCTGCATTCTTCCCACTATGATCGAGGAAGCGTCTTCCCCTGGGAACAACGTCAAGGTCCTGGGGGAAAAATATGCGTCTAAGTGCCAGGAGCTCGAGGCCAAGGGGGAGGAGCTCGAGGCTGCGAACGCCATCATAGCCAAGCTCTATTCTGAGAAGGAGGCGGCTATCCGAAAGGCTGAGCTGCTGAGAGTCGACCTGGCTAAGTCCGTTGACGAGGCTTTGGTCGAGCGGGAAAATGGAATACAGGAAGGTCGACGGACCTTCTTGAAGTCCACTGCAGGAGCGGTTTTTCTTGATCACTATCGTAAGGCTGTGGTCGAGGGATTCTGCTCCTTTTCAGAGTTTCTCTACGAACTTGTTCCCGCGTCTGTCCAGTACTTCGACTACGCCTGCGACACGTGGGAGCAGGCCGTGACCAAGCCCGACTTCTCGGGAAAAATCGGCCGCGACGCCGTAAAGCTAACTCTCCCCGACCCCGAGGGCTTCCGGGAGGCAGTTCTTCCCCCCGGCCATGCATGGTGGAGTGGTCTGGCGGCCAAGGCCATCCATTCTGCTGAGCTATCTTCTCAGCTCGAGGTCCCACCACTTTCTTTGGTCGGCCTAGTTGAATTGGTCGAGCCGAGTGGTGCGAACTTCGAAGAAGAGCTGTTCGACGAGGAGATTGAAGTCGAGCGGCCTAATACGGAGCCGATTGTGGAGAAGGAGGGCGCTCAGACAGAGCCGATTGGTGATGGAGCTGCTGATGAGAAGTCGACAGCCGACTCTCAGAAGGCCTAGATTTTAGACTTTTCCCCTTTTCTTCTTCTTTTTTTTTTATGTTTCTGCTTGTATTCTTCTCTCTTTGTTTTTACTATCTCATCCTATTTTCCCTATGTAAAGGGTGAAATGGTGTCGGATGTAATGAATTTTCCTTTAATTATAATGCTTATTGCGCTATTTTATATCGTCGTCTTCTCGCAGTTGTAGCTTTTTATTTTATTGTTTGGTTTTCTTATTTCACCTTACTGTCTTCTCCCA